ATTGTGATCCACAGGAGCTGGAGGCATTCGCGGAGCGCTTCAAGCAGCGTCGAATAAAGCTCGGCGTGACACAGGCAGACGTCGGGAAGGCTTTGGGACGTCTCAACCTGGCTGGCGTTGGGTCCTTTTCGCAGTCTACTATTTGTCGTTTTGAGTCTCTCACTCTCAGTCACAACAATATGCTTGCACTGAAACCCATCCTGCAGGCCTGGCTTGACGAAGCTGAACAGGAGGCAGCAGTGCGTCAAAAGAACCCAAGCGCCTTCGAGATGGAGGATGAGGACAAGAAACGCAAGCGCACCTCCATCACTGACCCCGAGAAGCGCTCCCTTGAGGCCTTTTTCGGCATCCAACCTCGACCGTCTAGCGAAAAGATTGCTCAAATAGCGGAAAAGTTGAACTTGAAGAAAAACGTGGTCAGAGTGTGGTTTTGCAACCAGCGACAGAAGCAGAAGCGTATGAAATTCTCGACGGCTGGCCTTCTCCACCAGGTTAATGGAATTTAAGTATACCACAAGATAACCTCAACTGGAAATGCTACGACCCACACAGTGTGGCATTTCACTGACGTCTGAGACGAAAGGCGAGGTTACAAGGGTTCCCCATAGTATTCCTTCACCTCGTCGTTTCGAAGCGCCGCTCCCTAACAAACCCCCCCCCCTCCATGACCTGTATTCTTGCTGTACCACTGCTTATTCATATCTTACTTCAGTTCACGTTTTTTTTATAAAGACTCGTTTGTTATATATTCACGGCGCCATCGAAAAAGCGCCCTCCGAAAATGACTTCTGCTGGCCGCGAGCACTAATATCGAAGGTGACGCACAGTGCTTCTTATATTAGTTGAGGATATAGCTGACTGTTCACCAAAAATCGGGGTTCTGATTTGCGTGGAACAGAGGAAAAAAATAATAATGACAGAGCATCTGTTTTTTTTATCGCACTTAAGTCATCCATTGGCGAATCTTTTAGACGAGACTTTCTTTGTCCACAGATACAGGTTGCGTCTGAAAGGCCAACTTGTGCATTCCACTAGTTGGTCCGACGCAAGGAGATCACATTTTGTCAGTATTTCAGAACACTGAAGAAAAGATAACGCGTAGTGTAAGTAGCTTAGCATATGGCGACTTATATTTCTGCAAATTCGGCACACCCTCCACATTCTAGAAGTTATAGCTACGAAGATAGAGACACTAGAGTGACGAGTCCTGAGCCACTCTTTGAAGCCAGTACTGTGGATTCTCGAGTTAGGCTCTGACCGCGGAACTAGTGACGCTTGTTTTTTCGACAGAGTTCGGGAACCTCCAGTCCTTGGGGTGCCGTGGACAGAACGGCTAAACTGATACTGCATCACATCTTCAGGCTAGATCGGTAGACGCCAATTTTGACCGTGTATCATTCCAACTCCATATTTTGAATCATTAGGCTTATGAACCTTGGGTAAAAATACAGAAGCCATTTTAAAAAAATGCCTGATGTTAAACAAGCACAAGCAATAGGATTTTTGACGCCAAAGTATTTTGCGACGACTCGAGTGTGCTGTATACGCACATCATCTGGCACGTTAGAGGCCCAATTGACTATTTACTCCTCATCAACTCTCTGCATTAAGCTTATTTTGAAAGTAATCACAATAGAACACCTAAATCTGACGGATTATGGATAGTTTGGCCCGAGAATTGCAAAGTCTTACCCAAATAACAGCTGATGTAACAGTGACTGTAAATGTGAGTTTAGTTGAGCCAGGAATTTCATAATGTCAGCCATCGTATCTAATTTATTATTAAAAACAGTAAATGAACAGCCAATAGAACTGAGATGGCGCAATTAGTTCAGGCGGGCGCTACGAAGCGAGAGTCTTTTGGAAATCAATCGGCTAACGCCATTTCAGCACTTATTGATTTTTTGAAATGCATGTTATCATAAAAGGGGAACATCTTAATAAACCTCGAGAAGGCTAGTAATCAGGACCCGGGTCAATAGTATTGGTATAAACTGGCATCAAAAGCTCTGTCACTGACATACGAACCCTATCATTGTGGACTGCGATCTAGAGTATTCTCACCTAAGGTAGATCTGGCGGTGGAATCGCCATGGTCAGCCGAGGACTGCACTAACTAAAAACATGGATATTTCGG